CCCCAGCCAAAAACTCCGCGAAATCCGCATCATTCATCTCCGATGAAGAACTAGAACTCGAGTCGCTAGTACTCTCGTTTTCTGGATCCATGTTGTTGCGATAAATGTGCCAAATAACGAAGAAAAAGTTTSATAAATCAGTGTGTCAGTGGTAGCTTACAGTTGTCACCTATRTGGCCTTCACGGTGTGACGTCATGACYCTTTTCATCTGAGCCCACGGTAAAACGGCAATATGGCGCGACTCCATCGTACAAAATCCTGAGTTTCATCAGCGAAATTCTTGAATAAAAAAGTCCCGATTGGTGTSAAAACTRGATTTTTCTGATCTACAAACTTCAAAGTTTTATGTAAAAAAGGCAAAAATGGGGGGTCAGTTGCCCTTTAAGGCTATATATAACATCTCGCCTAGCTATATAAGTAATCTGCTATCTAATAGGTCCTGTTCTTTATATTCGTTAAGGTCGAACAACACTTTGTTTTTAGATCGTCCAAAGGGGCATATGCTTTCGACACTAGGGGCTCGTTCTTTTTATGCTTCCCCACATTGTGGAACAGCCTTCCAGCACACATTCAGGAAATGAAATCTCTTAACATTTTTAAGAAACAACTAAAACACATTTTTAAATATATCTTATAACAAGTAGTTTTAGTCATTCCATTAAGATCTTAGTATTTTGTTTTGTATTTCTTTTTAGAGCTTAATATTACTGTAATCATCCATATTTTACAGTATATATTATTGTAATTATTCATATTTTATAGTATATATACATTTTTGTTGATTTACCCATGTAAAGCGCTTTTGATCTTCTTAATGTTAAAGAGCGCTATATAAGTCAATAAATTATTATTATTATTATTTATTATATCTCATCAAACTACATAAGTGCAGTGAACTTGGTTGGAAAAGCTCGGGCATAAATAAAGATGTAAACGCGGCTCAAAAATAGGCCCAAAAAATAACCTACATAAAATGAACAGCCGTATATAAATAAATATACAACCGATTGCCACGATCTTGCGATATGTTGTACATCAATTTGCCAAAATTAGAGTGTGTAAATGTCAGTTCTATAACTTTCAAATTAAAAGAATTGCAATATTTTTACTGGAGATGAATAATAGATAAAATTGTAAAAAGTCCATTTTCTTCAAAACGGCTCCAGAGATTTCTGTTGTTCTTGTTGTTGTGATAGCTCAATCTTTTATCTAGCAGTTGCTGTGATTTTTATAGGCTTTGCGTTCCAATCTTGGTAGAAAATATTTTTTATTTCTKGTATACACCGAATGCTGGTCTTCGCTTGATATAATTTATGCGACTTTGACAAGTCACACAAGTTCGACTGGTACGTAAGACCATGCTTTTAAATTGTAATTTCACAAAACTGATAAAATAAATTGGTTGCGTCAGTAGGGCCAAAGAAGCCATCACCACCAGCCATACCATTATTACATTTTGATTTTTTTTTGGCTATGTTGACTTCTCTTACTTTTTTGGAATGGGTGCCGCCCAGCTCAATGGATTCATGACTGCGATTAACGCTCGTCCGTTTTCTGAGAGAACGTTTAAAAAAGCTGAACGAGAAGTTGGCCCTAAAATCGAAGAGGTAGCACGAGAGGGCTGTGAAAAGTGGATGTCCATAGAGAAGAAGCAAAGTAAAGATGGTCTGAAAGCATCTTTTGACTTTGGGTGGCAAAAAAACGAGCGTTCACATAACTCAAAAACAGGTCAGGGAACTGTTGTTGGCTATAACACACAAAAAATGCATCGATTTTATGGCCAAAAACTCATGCTCTTTGTTCTTTCAAACGGAAATTATACGAATATCGAGGGAAATCGTTAGGCATTGATTCCGACCACATAACAGAATATGTGATTGAGCATCTTGCCAAGTGTTTTTCATACTGTTTGCACCAGAGTGATAACAACCCGACAACATTGAAAGCGGGACTACTGTGCATCGTTCCACATTCCTTTGGGGAACATAAAGATTGTATGTCATGGTGGAGGTATGAAAAGGATCCTGAGAAGTATAAACACACTACTCTTCCAGGAGGTAAACTAAACAAAAACAAAAGTTATCGAGTAAGCATTACAACTAACGTTTCATTACTCCTTTTACAGGCAAAGATCTAAAGGGAGAAAGCCTTCRTAAACTTCTGAATGATATTATGGACGGTTACACAACCAACGATGCAGTAAATAAGCTTGCTCCTCAGGGGTCATCACAAGTCAATGAGAGAATTAACAATGTTGTCAAGTCAAAAAATCCCAAATCAAGATTTTACGGAGGATCCGAAAGCAGTGACATTCGAATTGCTGCTGCAGTTGCGCAATATAACGATGGTTACAGTTATCTTGAAAAGGTAGAGCTTGTGAGTTTTAACTTTTATATGTAATAGACTCAGAAACATTGTCATTACACTGGAAAAAATCGTTCACTTTAAAAGGTTTTAAATTGATGTAAATATTACAACCTTTAAAGTACGCGATTTTTTCCAGTGTATATAATTAACAATTGTGTAAAAACGTTAATAGAAAAGTTTACTTTGCTTCGCATTGTTTCTTGTAAGTAAGCAGTATAAAATGAGAGTTAAGGTCCGTACATTACTGTCGATATTTACTATACGTTTTTACCAGCTTATTGCCGTACGCCGGCATCACCAGGTCATGAAAATCTCAAACAACAGTAAAACTAGTAGAATTAGCATATTATGAATTGAAAGCCTTTTTGTTCTGACCTTACACCTAGTTATTATTCCGAAATACACTTTTATACTCCCCAGTTACTCGGGCCCGTATGCTATTTTACTAGTTTTACTGTTCTTTTAGACTGATTTTCCTGACTTTTCATAATGCTACTGAAAAACAGTTTCCTAATAATGATAAATTGGACTTGTTCAGAAAAAATTATTGCTAAAAACGCGAGTAGCTTGGCACTATTGCGTTCTTTCTGACGAAAAATGATCACACGCCATATGTTCTGC